TTAGAGTTGGCCCGTTTAATTACAAAGAAATAAAAACACTGATAATGATGTAACTGAAAAATTATATCTCCAAACTTGTTGAAAAAAATTTCAAAACTAAAACATAATTTTTTTTAATTATATTAAATTTATTCAAATATTATTTTGGGTTATTTTCTTGTTGGCATTTATAATCATTGTAATATAATTAAGGTGAATTTTTCTTGAAAATGGATTATGGAATATGGGCTTTTGGGCTTTGATTATGGGCTTTGGGCTTCTTTTAAAAATAATTTCCATTATCCCCATTTTTTGAGCCCAATCCAAATTTCTTTTTACAAAATTAAAATTGTATTTAATTGGACATTTATTGAGAATAAATTGAAGGAAGATGCTATATCCTTCAAATTAATACGACAAAAAGAACTAACAAACAACTTGGGAAATTACTTTTTTGACCCTAACACCACATCGCACTCGAAAATACGTAATCCTAAAGATATGCCAACAAAATACAGAAGCGTGATGACAATACCGTTGCCAGAATTCCGATAAATCTCGAAAAGAACTTGAAAACGACCATTAAGTCCTCGAAAATATATTTCACTGAAGGCGCTTATTTATTAAAAATACGTTTTAGACCTTGTACTTTATATATTTTCCTAATTCGGAACAGAAAGTTTGCTAAAATAACATATTCAAATTAAAAACTTATAACCCATAAATCATTTTATTTTAATGTAAAAATAGGAGTTTTGGAATCATATTTAATATATTATTTAATTATAAAATAATAATGGACAAAAAAGTATTAGCGAATAAATTCGATTTGACCTATTTTAAATTAGTTATTCTAATATGTTTTATATAAATAATAAATTTGTAGAAATAAAAATTCCTTAATTAAATATAAAACCTATATAAGCTTATGGAAAACCAACATCAAAACAAAATAAATCCATCATAAATTGTTAAATTGTATTATTTAAAAATATAAAAATACCATGTTGTCAATGTAATTTCACTCTTGTTATCTGTTACAGTGAATAGTACAAAAAAATCAACAAACTTTCTCATTTTGAATGGTTTAGTCGTTAAATTGTTTTTTTTAATGAAAAAGTCATTAAACTTTTTTATTTCAAATGATTAAATCCATGAACTATTTTTTTGAGTGAAAAAATTGTTAAACTTTCACATTTTGAATCATTAAAACCTTGACTTTCTTTTTAGAAAAATGAATAAACCATTGAACTTTTACTAGTTGGTGAATATAATTTTTTTTTGGTTAAAAGAATGTAAGTAACCAAATTCTAAAAGTGCAATGGTTTATTTATTAAAAAAATGTTCAGAAACATAATCAATCAAAATGAGAAAGTTTAATGGTTTTTTCTTTCAAAAAAAAAAAATTAAAGACTAAACCATTCAAAAATGAGAAAGTTCAATAGTTTTTCATTCAAAAAAGTAGTCCAGAGACTTAATCATTCAAAATGGGACAGTTCATATGTTTTTTTTTTTTGAACTTTTCCCTAAAAAGTTATACAAATTTAGAGTTAATTATTTTTTTTCTTTTTTGCAGTTTGCTCGAAATTACATTTTTCCTTCTTAACTTTGTTTATTACAAATGCTTTCATGTGATTTCCATTTCGTTTTGATTTTCGTCTCTCCTCTTAACGACTGTTAAATGCCTTCACGAGCCCCTCTCGTGTGAGGCGATTTCGGTTTTTAGTTTGTCCCTCTTTCTTGATCCCTCTTCTTCCTCGTCCATCTTCTCTAAATTAGAAAACTCAACCAACAATAACCTTCAAACTGTAAACCACAAAAATTCAAGACCATTACAAAAACATTCATAAACCCGTACTTTATTTGTACAAATCTAATCCTAATCCAAATCCAAATACATAATATTGACGTATACAACAAATCCATATAAATTCTTTTCGAAATTCAAAATACAAAAACCCTAAATCATGAGCTCAAACAATGACGTGACAAAACACAGTGGTATTGGAGGTGGAGGATTATGTAGCAGAGCACGGTGGTAAAAGCAGAAATAGCAATGGTAGCAGAAGCAACAATCGGGAAAAAAAAACTAGGTTTGTCTTTGTTCAGACCGTGAGTTGCTTAGCCATCGGTTTTTTTTTATAATAAATTTTTTATTTTATAAATACAATATATTAAATTGGATATTACAAAAAAAACTGTATATTGTTTTTAAATAATAATATTTTCGAATAAAATGATTAATGATGGTATAAGCATTTTTTTTAAAAGACAGGATGTTTGTAAGCATTTAAATACACATTCAACACATTCAATAGCTTTCGACTTCTATTATTATTTAAATATATATTTAATATGTTTTGATTTCAATTTTATCTTAATAGTAATCATATATGATATTAAAACTTTTCACTTCTTACGAAATGTTTAACTTTCTCATATGATTCTTTATATATATATATACATATATATACATATATATATGTGTGTGTGTGTGTATCTACTGTATTATAAATCATTTGACAAAAACTCTTAAAAACCATTTTTATGCATAAAGTTTTTTTATTGATGCATATTACTTAAAATTCAAGACCATAAGTAAATTGTACGTAACTATAGCTTATTAAAGCTTCATTTTTTTATTTGTGTAACTAACTATGGATAAACATAATCAAATACGGGATATACATCTCATTTTAAATATAAAAAATATAAATATATTTATAATAATCATTAATTATAACAAAATACTTAATTATTATGTTTATAAAAATTATATTATTAAACGATAAATAAATTACTTCGTTATTAAATCTAAATTAAATTATAAATAAAACATTAAATTAAAGAAATTACACAAAAACTAAAACTTTAAATAGTAAATTTGATACTAATATCGATATTTTTTTTCCCAAATTTTTATGATATATTTAAATTTATATAATTTTAAAAATAAAAATATTATCGGTTTTTCAAAACTACTAAAAACCATATTATATCAACATAGATAAATAATAAAACATTAAAATTGAAATATATCTCGCTATATTATACGAACACCCGTCTAGTAATTATATATACACACACGTTTTCTAATTTTTAGAAGGTGGCATTTAAGTTAGGGCATGTGCTCGTAAAATTCAATTTCTAGCTACATTTTTTATAACATAATATGACCCTACCCACTACAGAATTATAATCAAATTTACACATACGTATACACACACACACACATACATATATATATATATATAAAGTTATTTTTTATGTTAAAGATGTATGTTTATAACACATCCATTATGTATGAAAGTATATATGCATTGATACATGCATCCTCATTGAAAATTCATATAGTAAATATGCATCAATTCGTATATGTTGTTTACACGGTATTTAAGACATTTATACTTCTTAATTCTTATTTGATCTTTCTCATACACACACACACACACACACACACACATATATATATATATATATATATGGGGAAAAGGTTCAAACAAAATCGTACAAATTCATTTTACAAAAACATGAAAACACATTTTTACTATAATCAATCATATATGATACTATATTTTATTACATATAATACATGTACTATGGTAATACATCAGAGACACGGATGACTTTTGACACGACCTAAGTTATAAGCCAAGTCATCCGTATACCACTAGACCCCTTCACGTGTATCATCATATGTGATAAGGATGTTCATGATGTGATACCATAACTTATATATTATTACATGTGATACTCATTCACAGATAAAGACAACCTTTGGTACGACCTAAATTGCATGACACGTCGTCTGCACACCACCAGGTTATCTCACGTGTATTATCACAAATGAGAAATGTGTTATCGTTTGAACCTCCACATACACATACATACATACATATATACATATACATGTACATACATATATATATATATATATATATATATACTCAAATAGAAAAGAATAATTAGATGTAAATATAAATACTAATTAAAAAGGAATTTTAAAATTGATGATTAAAATAAATTAGATAAAAACGAAATTATAAAATATATTAAAAGAGCTATAAATATGAAAAACACTTTCACATGTATGCAATTAAGACCGAAGTTGCAGGTTTTTGAAGCTCATTCAATTCCATCCTTTCTGCCGACATATTTCTTCATACTCTCCTCTCCACTGTCTTTTTCTTTTTTTCCATTTTCCCTATTTAATTTAATTTAATTTCCAATATTAAATTCATTCACATAAATCAGATGAAAATCCCCAAAGCTTAATTGCTAAATCCATAACCACTCGATATCTCGTGCAATTATTTAATTGCTTCATGTGTTTTTTCCATTTTCATTCATTCACATTCTACTTTAATTCGGTGGTATTTAATCTCCATCACAATATCTTGTATTTTCTAACTTTTAAATTAATTCGGTAGTATTTAATCTCCATCACAATATCTTGTATTTTCTAACTTTTAAATTAATTCGGTAGTATTTAATCTCCATCACAATATCTTGTATTTTCTAACTTTTAAATTAATTCGGTACCAACGTTTTACGGTGATTTATTATGTTGTTTTCGTATTAAAACGTACGATTAATTACAAAAAAAGATAACATGACGAGATAGAGTTTTTACAACTGAACTAGTTCATATAAAATTAACCCTAATTAATATGGAATCCAGCGGAAGATTTCGAATCTTAAATCAAACGGTTTTCTTGCATGGTTTATCGTTAATCTTTAAACATAACCTATTTAGACCAACCGTGATTTCGAATTTATGGTTTCAAGATAATTGATTTTGATCCGTAATTAAAACCCTAATTGAGTACTCAGATATAAGCTAGACCAAAACACCATTAAGCTCAAGAATTATTAAACTCATAATATATATTAATTCTTGATAAAAGATCACAAAAAACCCATGCCTGAACTGAATCAATCATCAAATACATCTGAATCAAATAAGACATACTCTTATTTACAATAAACTTGGCATATGATATGCCAAAAAGCTGATTTTGTGAATTTGGCTATGTAAATGCATAATTAGATCATTGATGTAATCCTTTTACATCCCCATGGAAAACTCAAACAAATTGAGAGTTCTACATCTCTCATGTCAGTCCAATAATTAACTGAAACTCCCCTCCAAAAAAATAGAATTGAAACAAGATTAATTAATATAACCGAAGAATGAAGTTTTGAATTAAAACCTCGATCCTAAACACAAATCAATTGTCGAAAAAATCAGGGCTTTCATCGAACGAAAAGTTGGTTAAATCTTCTTTCCCTTGATCGACCACGCCAACGGCACCGGCTGTTTCATCAAGAAGCCAATTCTCGAACATCATAAAGCGCAGTTCCTCCTTGCTATCCCCTTGAAAGATACTTCCTTCCGGGGATGTGTTTGATTGGGAGAAATCTGAATTGTTTGGAGACCCGAAAGATTGGTCAAACCCAAAAAGGGATTCAAATGCCTCAGATAAGTCAATCCCGGAAGTCTTGCTTTCGATGCTGCTAAGTGCATTCACTTCACTGGATTCACGAGTGCTAGAATTCGAACTCGTTTTGGTGTTCTTGGGTGAGTTTTTCATGAACCCTTTGAGCAATTTGGCTATGTTATCAGTGCTAGAAGGGTATATAGGTGTTTGGGTGGAGGATTTGACAGTTTGAGGTAGAAAGGTCGGCTTTTGATCAATCGATAAAGCATCATTTAGGGCTTGTTTGGCCATATGGATATCGGTCTGAAGTCTCTTTTCCCACTGGCCTCTAGAGATACAGTGTGAAGAAGAAGATGATGAAGTTGAGGATGAAAACCTATCTTTGTTATTGTGAATTAGATCGTGTTCCTCGGCGCCCGTCTGAAGCTTTCGAAGCTTCTTTTTCAAATGAGTATTCCAATAGTTCTTGATGTCATTATCTGTTCTCTCAGGAAGATATGAAGCTATTGCTGCCCATCTGCAACCACACAAATTATGTTAACACACAACTTCTCATGATTCTTGAACCAAAACATAGAAACTTTTGCTCCCTCTCATCATATCTATTGATTGTGTGTGTATATATATTGGTTTTTTGGGATGTACAGGGAAAACCCCAGAAAATGAAAAAATGAACAACACTTTTGCAACCATTTATCTGGCCTCTATATATGTAAGCAACTAATTTGTAAGCAATTTGGTAACCATTCATATCTATTGATTGTATGTGTGTGTGTGTATATGTATGTTTATATACACACACACACACACATATATATATATGCTAGGGTAAAAACTTACTTGTTACCCAGAAGAGCTTGAAGCTGGATGATCATCTTCTCCTCATCATCATTAAAGTCTCCCCTTCTGATTCCAGGCCTCAGATAATTTGTCCATCTTAACCTACAACTCTTGCTGCATCTTCTCAGTCCTGTAATCAATACACCCATAAATATTTGAACAACCTCTCTCTCTCTCTCTCTCTCTATATATATATATACACATATATATATAAACACACACACACACACACACACATATATATATATATATATATAGATATGTATACAGAGACGAATGTTATGTATATATGTACCTGTATTGGTAGGGACTTGGCGCCAATTTCCAGGGCCATGCTGTTGAACATAAGAAACAAGCATGATATCTTCTTCAGGAGTCCATGGACCTTTCTTGACACCCAGTTTATCACAGCATGGAGGCCTACCCATTTCTCTATAATTGATCTAATCTTCAAACTAAAGAATCAATCTTTATGATTTCTTGATCGATCTTCAAGCAGATCTCCTCTTAGCTTATTCTAGCAATATGTATATATATAACAAGAATCGATTATTGAAGTGGGTGTTCAAATTTCCAACAGTGGGCAGGATGTGTTTTGTTGGGAATTGAAAAGAGGTGAGACACAGATATAATTAGGGGGTAAGATGATATATAGAAAGTGAGAGCGAGGCTGACTTGAAAGAGTCAAAAGGAGAGTGGTGGAGATGACAGCGAATGCATTTACTCAAAGCTCATGCATGCTGGCACACACAGCTATGGCAGAAGCTTAAAGCTAAAGTCAGCCCACTACCCCCCACCCTTAATCTCTCTCTCACTTGTTCTACTGTGTATACTGTGTGTGTGTGTGTGTGTTATGCTGTTATCATTATCATCACCCTTCTCTCTCAAACCGCGTCATGCATTCAATGTAGGTTTGTTTTTTTTGGGACTCTGCCATAAAAACCCTAATAAATTCTTGTTTTGACTTCTTTTACGACTTCTTGATTAACCCTAAAAACACGTTTTTTACCTAGCTAGTTCTATAACTGAAAATGCCTTTTCATTTCTCCATATTCATAGATGAGAATTCATCCCATAACATCGATGGTGCAATTCAATTAAGCAAATATATATATATATATATATATATATATATATATATATATATATATCAAAGAAAAGCAACAAAAGATAACACAAAACCATTCATACCGGTAAAATTAAGTAAATAAATACGATTTAAATCAGTATACAATCATAATTTATATATATAGACTTGGGATCATATGAGACCAATAGTTTTTCATGAGACCCGTAAGAACAATTCTCAACTCTTGAATTAGATATACAATCGTTATATCTGAATATTCATAAACGTCACGAAACTTCTCAATAATTACAAAATTGTCACCGTACAACTTTAGACCATTATATCATATGTTTATAAAGTTGATCAATGAACATAAATTGGTCTTACGGGTCTCACGAAAAACCCTTGGTCTCACGTGAACCCAATTATATATATATATATATATATATATATGTATATTGTTCATGTTTTATTTGTTTTTCTTCATTAATTCACCACCAATTTGCGGTTTTCATCCCTAATTTCATCCTCTTATATTGATTTATAATTTGTCCAATCGTCTTCCTGGTCCTGAACGACACAACAAGAAGCCATGGAGAGGGCAGACTCGCCAGTCAGGCACATCGTGAGGCCGACTGCCAAGACTTTGCTTGTTGTTTGTGCTTGTCCACCACGACTGCTCAACCAACTGCTAAATCATGGGTTCCCGAATGCCCCTTTCCTACGCTACTAGGAGAGTCTTGGCATCCTTCTCTTATGAGGGGATAGGAGTCGACTGCCCATGCTCACATCTCAGAACTCACATCATCGAATTTATTTTGTTATTAATTATTATCGGACAATTAAATATTTATGAATGAGTAAATGATTACAACCTGTTAATTTAGTTTGTCGTAATGTTGACGATAAGAAACTTTACAATTCATTTCACAATGAAAAAGACCAATGAATAGACTATACACTAAATTAAAGATCCATCGTTCGCAATCGGTGTGCAAGTGGTCATAGGGGATTCCTGAGTAATTTTTGTGCTCGATCACCTTGCAACTTGAGATTGTTTTCGAGGGGGGTAACTGATGATGGCTCAATTTAGGGTTTTTTGACAACATTTTTACGTCACTTTTGAAATTAGACGCCTTATTAGTTTTTTTTTTGTACGTCATTATTTGAAAAGTGTGCACAAGTGCCCTGTAAAAGACATGTTAAGAGAACGTTTCTCAAACGTGTCCTGTAAAAAAATGACATTTTAGTATAGAAGTGTCTTGAAAATTTTGTTAAGATGTTCAAAAGCGGCTTACAACATTTCAGATGTTTTATAAACCCAATTTCTTGTGGTGAGTTTAAGCTTTCCGAAGAAGTAGTGTATCCTTTTAAACGATCACACAAAGATTTCCACACATCTGATTGATAGCAATTGGTGTCTTAATTTATAAACGTCTTAAACTTTAAAGTCGTGACCTCGTGTCATGCCAAAATTCACAAGACTTTGGTGCATCGGATCTATATGGTGCTTAATTGCATATTGCACCATCGATCTTATGGGATGAATTCCCGTATCTGGAAACCAATAGATCGATAGTTATATTAATGAATGAACAACAAAAGTTACGTTTTTTTCGGTATTGGTGTCTCTTTATGAACAAAAAGAGACATGCTTGACTTCATATGCACCATGCCCCTGAAAATGGGTAAGAAAAAAAGAACACGAGAATGAAGAGATTGACAGCAAGAAAAAGGGAGATTTAATTATGATCATGTGGTTTTCTTTAATATTTACATTGAAATTAATATTCATGGGTTTTCTACATAAAAGTGGTGAACGACCAATATTCACATAATTAATACTTATATGCTGTTTGACAGTTGTTGAATGATTTGGTGTAGAATGATTAAATGTTCAGCATGATTAAGAGGCTCTCGTGATATAATGCAAAATAAAACATAATTGTTTACAATGAAATTATAGCGCTGAATGGTTAATGGAGGATTTAAGTTCAATAAAAGTTATTAAATATAGATTAGAAAATTTTAATAATATTTTATGAACTACCACTAACTTTTATTACAGCTTTAAGTTCGATTAGAAGTTATTAAATCAACCTGTTGTTTTAGATCATCGTGGTAAACTCTTAAAAAGAAGTTTGTATCTGTTTGTTTGGTTTAAATTCGCAAAAAAAAAAAAGCATAACATAAAATCGTGTGTTAACGTGTGCTTATTCATTTGTCTGTTCAATAGAAGAAAAAACTTTGTGGTTTAAATACATATAAATTAACCAACCTGTTGTTGAATTAAATTTTGATAAACTAAATATACAAATTGTGTTCATTAAGTCATGTATGGATAAAGTTGTCTGTATGGATTAATCTGTCTGTACATGTCGACAATGTTTTTCTTTGGGAGAGTTTTCTTATAGATGGAAGGAGTATGTTTTTTAACTGGGAGCGACAAGTTTTTTCTGCATAAATCTCTCTTCTAAAAGCTTACTTAATAAGTCGTTTTCTATATATCATTAAGCCACAACCAAACAGTTATGTATAGTTGATCAAATAAGTTGTGAATCCTATTAAAAAAATTATTGCACACTACAAAGGAGTTAAATATTTTTTGTTGGTCAAAGGATATATTATTTTTATTGCATTTAAATTATTAAATTATAAATATATTAAGATATATGGAGATGATAATAATATTGAAGTGTCGTGTAA